TATTATTGTAAATATCCAGTATATAAGTGAATGTACAAAATTGAAAATGAAAATGAATAAAACATTTAAACATGAAAAAAAAAAGAAGGAAGGGAGCCCCATGGCCACTTTTGTTCTATTTGGGATCCCTCAGACTGGGCAGCCAGATATTCTTCTATGGCTGGCTGAGGAATTCTGGGAGTTGAAGTCCACAAGTCTTAAACTTCCCAAGTTTGGACACCCCTGTTCAATGGGTTTCGGACCCTGTGCCAGGGATTGAATCCATGGGCCTGTGCGCTTAGGTGTCTGCATACAGTGCATTAACTCCAGGTGCCAGGCAGGCAATGGTGCTCCGTGGTTGCAGGAAGCTATTAGATACAGCTGTATAACTATATATCCGTGATGGCGAACCTATGGCACGCACACCAGATGTGGCATGCAGAGCCCTCTCTGTGGGCAAATGCACCGTCACCAGCTGTTCTTCTGGTTTCCAGCATGCACATGCCCAACGGCCAGCTGGTCTTCGTGGGTGCCAGAAAAAGGCCTGAAAATGACCCCAAATGGCCAAAAAACAGGCATATGCGTTCCTGCCAGCTGCTCTTTGGGTTTCTAGTGCTGTGGTGCACACACGCATGCACGTGCATTTTGGTTTGGGCACTAGGTGCAGAAAAGGTTTGCCATCACTGCTATATATAGTCTGCTGACCCTCAAGCTCTCAAATGTTAGATCATGTCACCTCTTTGCCTGCAGGGCTTGAATCCCACGGAAGAATATCAGGCTACCTTAGGGATCCTAAGCAGTGCAAAACCAGCCTTGTGATGCCTGTGTCTCCAGATGCTCCTGAAAACCCCACCCTGTGAATGCCCCGACCTCCAAATGGGCTGGGTGGGTGGAGCCACGTAAAGTCCTACGCGAGGTGTCTGAAATAACCTAACCTCTCTCTCTGCTCTGCTGTGCTCTGCTCTGAGAGCTAAAGGGAAGGTAGGGGAAGTACTGGTCCAAAAGCTTCTGTGAAAGCATTAACTACAATTTTTACTGTGATGCAAACAGTAATGAAAATATTAAAAGCTGTTAAGAAAATATGTATTGCTTCTTCCGGCAATGAGCATCTTCCTTTTATTCAGACAAACACAACATCCATAACCTTTGTGATAGTCATAAAAAAATCTGGCTGAGAATGAAATAGTTTTTTTAAAGAGATTAATCCCAAAGTAATTTGCCCTGTTTCAGGGGAGGTTCTTGGATTTCCTGGGAACAGAAAAGCATCCCTGGATCCCAATAACTGCTGGTGTCAACAGGATTATCCAAGAAGAAAACCAACCTTTTTGGCAGATTCTGAAGTGAAGTCTGGGTGGGTCAGCAGGATATCCATATCTCCACTGGATTCTGCACCTTTCAAAGCAAGGCCATGCAGGAAAAGTCAGTCCCAGCCTTGGATTTAAGATCCAATTTAAGAAAAATCTGTTGAGTGCTATTAAAGTGACAGTAGAAGGTTTGTACTTTCAGACTCGCACAATTCTATAAATGAAGTAGAATTAGCTCATCCGGTCAGGTTTTCAGTCTGGTTTACCTGGGAGGGCCAACTTCAATCTTACAACACGGAAAGTACAAATTTCAAATTACCAATACCGTATCAATGAACAATTTGAATGGGTCAAAAACCTGTTTTCTTTTTTGAGACATCAGATTGCCTGAAACCATTTGATAGCAACAGCACTTAAGGTTATATACCGCTTTACAGTGCTTTATAGCCCTTCTAAGTAGTTTACAGAGTCAGCCTCTAGCCCACAACAATCTGGCTCCTCATTTTACTGACCTTGAAAGGAAGGAAGGCTGAGTCAACCTTGAGCCCATCAGGACTGAACTCCTGGCAGTGGGCAGAGTGAGCCTGCAATACTGCTCACTCTAATGGCTGCGCCGCCACAGTTCTTAATATGATATATGTGTGTTCAGCAACCTCTTGTTCAAAGGTGCAATTAAAGTTCTTTGTTCCCCAAAACAATCACATTGTGGTCCCTTATCCCTACCTTCATTCCAACCATTCTATATCCATCTGATGAAGAGAGCCGTGTCAGGGGCAAGAAACCAGAACGACACTGTGTGCTGAACAAAGTCATTTCTTTGTTGTTGCTTGCCTATCTAGAAGAATCTCACCCGACTAACTGAATTCTCTTGGGGAAGGCCGTTAAAGGGGGTGGCCGTTAAAGGGGGTGGCCTCTGTCGCCCTCTGTCGCTTCCTCTCCTGGAGGGAGTCCGAGCTCCCCTGGCTCTTTTCTCCATCCCCTCCCTACTCTAGCGGGAGATAGGGCCACATCTGCAAGGCCCAAACGCTTATGCCTTTTAGTCAAAGGTGTTAGTTGGAAAAGATCTTCCTAGGCTCCTTCAGACTGAAAAAAAAGCTCTCAAAGCCTTATTATATTCATAGACAACAATCTTTCCTGATCATGAAAATAAACTCTGGACTTACTCCTGCTTTACCTGATGGGCCAGATTTTTGGCAACTTGCTCACCATGATCCCCAGATCTCTGCTGCAGACACATTAATGAAAAGTCTGCTTATTTGGAAAGAACTCAAGATGTGGCAAAAATGAAACACAGAAGACAGGGAAACCTGTGTAGCCTTCTTGCCCATGTTCTAGCAATCGATTCCAAAAGTCATATGGCAGGAAAAGGAAAATAGGGAACACCAACCTCGGCGAAAACTGCCACAAACCGAAGCAATGTAGGCAGGGTCCACTTTCTTCACTTCATTCAGTACAATGTCCTGTTGTGAAAAAAGAGGTCAGGCCATTTGATCTCTGGTGAATCCTTGTGCCTTTTTTCTTCAGCAGAGGTTTTTGGAGGTTTATTGGATTTATATGCCGCCCTTCCCCCAAGGACTCAGGGCGGCATACAACATAAAAGAAAACACATATTACAAAAATTAAAAGGGACATTAAATAAAGTATCCCAAAAAACTCAATTGATATTTACAATAAAAATTAAAAATTAAATTAAAATTAACAACCAAATCAATCCTATATTTTATTCTATTCAGGCCAGGCCGGCTTGCTGGAAAAGCCAAGTTTTTAGGGCGCATCGGAAGGACCGGAGGTCGGGGATTATGCGAAGCTCCGGGGGCAGCCCATTCCAGAGGGAAGGCTCTCCTACAGAGAAGGCTCTCCCCCTGGGGGTTGCTAGCCGACACTGTCTGGCCGACGGCACCCTGAGGAGGCCAATCTGTGGGATCGCACTGGACAGTGGGAGGCTACTGGTGGCAGTAGGTGGTCTCGCAGGTACCCTGGGCCTAAGAAGGAGTCATCATTGCTTACCTGCATTTCAAGCATCTCCTTCCTAGGAATCCTTTTTTCAAAGTCTTTGAAGTATCTGTGCATGCAAAATAAAGGAGGATCATGGATGAACCGTGGCTGGGATCCAGCACAGATTTATTTTCAATTTTTTTTTGCTGAAATGAAAGGCTTAGGTTGGCATCAAATGCTGCCTGGAACGTAAGCACATCAGCATTGAAGAAAATTTCCATGCATATTAGACAGTTTAAAATATTCATTATATTGAATGTTTGACATCAGATCAAATTTACAGCAGTTCATCCTAAATAACAACTAAATGCTGCAAATAAAAAATCCATCACTACATCCTGCCCTGTCCTCTTTGCTATTAGGAACAGAAATAAATAGGACAACTAACAGATTTTGCAAGAAAGGTTTTTCACAAGTGTGATATAGTTTAAATAATCCAACAGTGGTGGCATTTGCTTTAAGAATAGAAATGTCTGTTTTCAAGGACACAGTGGGTAACTTTCAATGCATCTATTTGTTCTTCTAAAAACAACAACAACCCAAAATGGAAAATAATCTGCTTCCCCTCTCACCCTGGGGTCAATTGTTAGCCTCTTTTGAATCAAAACAATCATAATGTCAAAAATTAGGTGTCTTTCCTAGGCATGAAAACCCTACCTTCCCTTCCCTCAGACAAACAAAGTAATCAGATCTTACTTTAGTCCAATGCGTTGATGATGATTCAATTTATTTTCATTTTTCTTTAAGTCTAGAAAAAACAGAGTACGGAACCAATTAAGTTTTTCTTGAATACCAAGCTTGGAGAAAGCCACCTGCAAAGTCTTTCCTAAAACAGAACTGTCCATTGTCCTGAAAACTTTGGGATGCAGTCAGAGGGGGAGGGAGAGGGAGGGAGGGAGGG